ATGGACTTCCCTGTCAGGCCGCAGGTGTAGGCGGCCTTGGATTCGGAGAAAGGCAGCCGGCCGTGTTTCTCATCCAGCATGAATTCGCATATCGGCACGGTATCTGGGACTTCAGGGAGCTGGGGTACCCAGCTCATAGGCTTGAACACCATGTTTGCGATTGTGGACGGACGTAGTTGGGAATTGAAGTCACGAGGGAAGATGGCTGCAGCGCAAGGAGTCTCCCTTAGTGTCAGAAAAAAACCCCTCCGTATCTAGACCGCAGGATGGTCAACAAAGACAGAAAACCAACGGTTGGTACGGTGTTTGATCGGACGAGCTCCATGGGATTGGAAACGCGACAGCTCGCAGGGCCGGCCTGGGCTGGGCCGGGCTCTGCGTCAGAGGTGGTTCTTTACCCGAGGTAAAAGAAGCTCGTCATCCTAGCGTAGCACTTACCCCAGAGGGATGACCTAAGGACGGTGCGAGTAAGTAACTTGAGCCGTTTGGTGTGGGCGTGGCACTGGCTCTGGGCTCCGCCGGGCTCCCACCGGGTCTCGCATTGTCTGGCCTAAGCTCTACCGTGGACAGCAGTCAGGCTTAGCTGATTTATTGGACGGTGCACCCCGCACCTAGGTTCCCCGTGGACGCTGAGCTCCCTTCACTCCCGAGCCTGCCCCTTCACGTGACTCGGCACCTTATGAACGCCGACAAAATGCCGACATGCCGACATGTCCAGAGAACTCGACGCCGTTCAAGATGTCCTTAGGAAGCTGGGTTTGTCTGCCCATCATCGTGCCATGGCCCATCTAGACCGAGGCGCGGGGAGGTTCGAATGGAGAAGGAGACCAAAATCCACGGGACTTCCCCGTTGCGGACAACCATTTCCCATGTTCGGGGTCTCGTGAGGCAGAGTTGATTGCGACCCTCGACAACTCCTTAGGCGTACAGTTCCTGAGGACGGCCAACATATCTACATTCTGGGTGTTGCGGAAGCAGGATCGATAGCTAACACGATGCAGCGGTTCAGATCATTAGAAATTGCCGAGGTCTAGCCTGCCCACTATGGCCAATATATCTATTGTATACAGTACAAGACCACTCTTCCACGAGGCAGTTACGGACAGGACGAAAGCACCGAGACTATCGAGCCTATTAACAGAGTTACCCCCTGTTCAGTGAGTGCAAGATATGCACACCACGATTCAGATCCAGATCTTGAGCCCGTTCGGTTCATCATCGCCGAAGAATCGATAGTACCTGTGAATCTATCTGACTGCCAAAAGGCTTCCGTCTTTCAGATGATCAAGACACGTACACTGATCAAATGGCTGGTGTAGGACTGGTCGTCTTGCAGTCACATTTGCACTTCGCACAATTGTTTTCTGTAGACTCAACTTGAGGTACGGGGTACCTTGCATGCAATTGACCCCCGATCGCTTGTTGGCCTGCAGCCCCCTGAGCGAAGTGGTGTTGACGCCGGCAGCAATCAGGAGGGAAGAAGATCGTGGTTGCAGTAAGCGCCCGTTGTCCTTTCTCGACGTTCAGATCCAGAGGCATCAGGACGCGCCTCCGAAAATCACTGCTGTTCTTGTATCCTGCCAGGATCATAGCGCTCATGGACATCGATCTTCATGACGATTAACGAGGATCGGAGAATAAAGAGATGAGATGTGGAACGTGCAATTCAACTCGAAAGGCTGAGCGGCAGCCTCGGACAGAACCCTGAAACCAAATGACGCATCTGGCTGCCGATCAAGCGTGCGCTCTGGCGCTTGATCGCCACAAAGTTCGTCTTCCTCAAATTAAACACGGCTCGAACACGAAACATGGTCTCTTCGCTAACGTCGGCGCGTGAGACAGCTGGAAATATTACTGTTGAAATGACAACATTGATATCCGAAAGTCGCATTCTGGCATTCTTACCGAGCACTTATCGTCGAGATAACTCGTACCCATGCACTCGTGATCGGACGGACGGCATGGACCATCGATAAGCGGGGCGACGGTGGTGATTTTTCTGCTTGCCGAGTGCATACACTCCCTCCTCACATTGGACGACGCAATGCAAAGGCCGGCTTGGTGTGATGCTAACTTGGTAGAGCCTCGCTTCGGCTGTCACATGCTTCGAAACTTCCACCTTGCGCCGGCACACACAGTAGCCTGCCGGTGTCGGACCGCGACTGACGTGAAGATGCAGATGGCACCGGTAACGTTTCCAGATCTGGAGGTCTTTATCAGACCCGTGGAAACCAACGCGTATCAAAAATAGCGAGGCTGGGTTTCCAAAGTTTGATACCTGTAGCTGCGCAGCTGGACCTCGAGTCTAGACCGTCTTCGAAGCCAATCAATTGTCATTCAGCTCTCAATTGACCAGCCCTGAATGTCAAATGTGAGCGGTATGCAAGTCATAATGCACCATCCGGTAATTGTTCTCCGGACGGCAACTATCGAACGCACAGTAGCCCATGATCACAGCGGGGGGTCCATGTTCGATCTGAACACTGCTGGCTCGCGAATGTTCATTCACCATCCGATGGGATCCACGGTTGGTACCAGTTGCAAAACTTCGAACAATCAAAAAGCAGTCACAGGCGCGCGTGTCGCGGCCGAGAGCTGGGAAGCTTCTCCACCCCCGCACTTCGAGGGATTGCGCACACGGTTGTCCACGACGTTCCAATTCGACACGCGTGCCGCCGCCCGGCGGTTTTAGATGAGACATGGCCAGTGGTAGAGCTCCCTTTTTTTACGTACTTTGCATGAAGAAGCGACGCACAGCGCAGGCGTAACTTTCGCCGGCCACCAGAAGAGTCTGGTGATTTTCGCCACGACCTTGCGACAAAATTTGAGAGCTTGTGCTGTCGGAAGCCTGTTTGGAAGTGTCAGGCACGTAGGTCTGAATAGACGGTGAACCAGAGACAATCCCACCGAACCCAACCACGAGGATCAATTGCAAGTCCTGTAACACAGTTGAATCGTGCGCGTGGCGATGAAATCCAAAGCCACAGAGTATATCGGAGCAGTCCTCCAACGAGAAATCACGTCGGCAGAGCTCTTGAACCAGGCACGTACAAATGCAGGCGCCACATCGGGAAGGATCAGTGCATGATGCAGTTTGTGGCAGCTAAAGGCAAATACCGTCCAATCAAGGCCGGCGCAAAGGCTGACCACCAAACCACTGCTTCGTCAACCAACGATACTTGTTCAGGCGAATCGGCTTGGTGATCCGTCAGTCGGCGCTGCAGCTTCGTATGCATATGTGCTGTCTGTTTGAAGCGACTTCCCAAAGAGTCGGGAAAAAGCAACGCAAGATGCAAGGACAATGGCTCAAAGGCAACCAGGGCAGACGTCGAGCTCGAAGGCTAATGTTGTCCCACAATACCCAATCGTACTACAGTGGATGTAGAGGTCATGCTCGAGCTTTACCCAGCACAACCTCGGATTATTTGACGATGAAGAAAGGTCGAGCTGCCACAAGCGAGAAGTCACGGAGAGGTTGACGCGCCTCGCAGTGAAGGCGAGAAACCCAAGGGTCTATATGTGGGTGATGAGTCCTTGGAGATCTCTCGCACGAGTGAAGGCCGTGGGGCACGTCCTCTATAACAGTGATGAGTATTAGACAGGTGGCAGTGGGTATTTCGGAATAAGCCCAATCAAGAACCCCGAGGTTGGAGACGTGAGGCCGCTGTGATTTGTCTCTGAAGCTCGGGTGAAAATCAGGACAGGCACACGGAGTTGCGCGGTTATTTTGATCCAGCGATGCCACATGCACGAGGGAGTTCCGTGGCTGGTGCTCTGGCTTGTGGAGTGGTACACGGTTACTCGGACACGCTGGATGGGTGAGGTAGTTGGAGATCTGCTATAGATGTATGTACAGGGTACTGTACAACGAAAATCCCTGTAAATTTCATGGTTCGAGAGAACGACATTCGAACCAGGGCATGGGCTCGGCGAACTGGGGCGGCTGCAGCTCGAGGGAATCGTCGTCGTCAGTGAGTTTCTTGACTCTCGCTCGCCCCGTCAATCAGCGTCATCAATTTCATGTCCACAGGCTCCGCCCTGAATTCACACACAGCTTGCTGTCATCTCGTTGCCTTGATCTCTTGTCTTTCTTGAAGGTCTGTAGCTTGTTGCCAGCGGCCTTTCACCCGAACAGCACGACTGCACTCATTCACAGTTCTCCCTCTTATCACGGCCACTTTTGCTCACCCCAAGTTACAGCGTCAGCAGCGGATCGGAGCTTCTTCAAGGATTGTTGCTTTTCTTGACTGTGTCCTGTCCTGCCAAAACCGGTCACTGAAGGATCCACCCCGGAAATAAGACAATCGTCTATCACTCACTTTCGGTCAGTCTCCCGCTTCTCCTGTCCCTGTAAACCTGCATCCTGCGAGTCTTTTTGCAACCTTGCTCTCCGCTTTCCCATCTCGCCTGGTGGCTGAATGCGCGAGCTCCTGCCGCACCTGAACTCTCGCTCGCTCAACGTCGGGGTTGCTGCCAATCTCTTCCACGCCAACCTCCACTCTCTTTCAAGCCCTGCTTTAGACTCTTAATGTTGTCAAACCCGTTCTGTCTTCAGCATCTACCGCCTGGAAGGCATAATTCTCATATGGAGGAGTAGACAACCCAATATCAGGCTCCCGGGTCGCACTACATTTCAGACGGAAACAAAGGTCCCCACTGCCACGAAGCAGTCCATGTCCAGGCGCGCAATTTCGTCCGCGCTTGCGTCCATCTCGACCTACAACAAGTGTCCCTCGGGGCGTCGCAAGGCATATTCCTACTGAACAAAAGAGAGCTCGAGATCGGATCTCGAGTCGGCACTGCTACCTTTCGACGAACCCAACCAGTTTGACGGCGTCCTCCCTCGGAACCGAGCTCTCCCGCTCACGTTCGATGCGATAATCCGGCGACCTCACACCATTGGCACGATCAACAGGGCGGTAGTGTTCGGGGACTCTCACTTGTGCACACACCAAGAGCACTGCAATGCAGCAATAGGTGGAACAGCTCTCTCTCTCTAAATGGTTGTCTCAATGTCCCCGGGCTCGTCTTGGACGGTCCTGTTTCTGTACACGGCCGTATTCTCCCTCTGGCTGTCGTTGTGTCATGGGCTCGACATTTCCTATTGCTCCTCGGAGAACAACGCGGGCAGCTATCCCAGTTGTAAGCGTTGTCCTGTTCTTGAGTTGCTCCAATTACTGACGGCCGGCTCCAGTCTATAGCGAATTTCAGTCAAATGGGTTATGTCAGGGCCACTGTCAAGGATCCTACGCATTCGCGGTCCTCCAAGGCTACTATTGCTGGTGTTCCAACTACATACCCACACAGCAGGAGAGCACATACAACTGCAACCAAGTGTGTCCCGGCTACGGTTCCGAATGGTGTGGTTCCACAAGTGATGGCCTCTATGGATATTACCTCCTGAGCGCAGGAGTCCCCCTGGGGACCTCGGGTTCTGGTTCAAGTACACCCTCAGCAACATATTCAACACCATCTCAGTCGTCATCTTCATCGGTTAGTATTATCACCTCTACTTCCGCCTCCTCGTCTCCGTTGGATACTGGGTTAGCCACATCCTCCCGCTCCACCTCTACCTGGCCAGTGTATCATTCCTCTTCAGTGGTAACACCTGGACCCTCTCAGAGCTCTGCCGAGGCTAGCATTGTAACTTGGTCAACGGACACTTCGTCGACCTCAACAAGCTTCCTTGTATGAGAACCCGACCTTGAAAAGCACACTCTTGATCCTTTCGCCCTCTCTGACCTATGATGAATGTTCTTAACTGACAAGATTCAAATCTAGCCAACATCAACTCCTCCATCCTCCACCTATAACCCGCCGCCCACTCCCGCACCTACGGAGGTTTACACGAGCGTAACCACGGTTACGGGCGAAGTCCGTACTGTGGTCGTGACACCATCTCCCGCTGCCTCGTCAGACGCAACCTTAGGGCAAAGCTCTACCGATGGGGGCGGCGGCGTCAGCACTGGCAAGGTTGTTGGGATTGTGCTGGGCGTAGCACTCGGCATCGGCATTTTGATCGGAATTGCGGTTTACCTGTGGTTCCGTCGGCGGCACAATAAACTGCAAGAGCAACGCGGACCAGAAACGGCTTTCGTCCCTCGGGCCGGAGATGGCTCCCCTCCCAATATTGTCCCGTCTCGGCAAGTTAGTCAAATGTCGACGGCTGGATTACTGGGTTCTAAAGCTCCCCGGATCAATACATCTATGGGAATCCTGGGCAGTGATCTACGGAGTGCTGATCCAACCATTTCATCAAACTCGGCGTCCGATCGTCGTAGTTTGGGCACGGATCAAAGATTGAATCCGTACGCTTTGTACATGAGTGAGCAGGGGCGCGTTAGCAACGTGTCCCTGCAAGACAACCAGGACTATTCGAGACAACTTCGGGTAAGTGCTGCTCAGCAAGCCGTTGGAGGCTGACGACTGATTGTGTGCTAGGTGGCCAATCCAGATTAATCCGACTGCCCAACCGGGCTAGAGCCGGCTAATACGCGTCTGATTGCAAAGGCCTGAGACCCATGGCATACGGCTTTTCGGAAGCAGTTCGAAAAGCATGGCATATCCTAGGGCGGCGGAGTAAGCCTCGCCACGAGGCTCCAGTCTCACACTGCCCTTATCGGACCCAGGGAAAGACGATGATTTTGCACTGAAGGAATGATCTTTACGACGAGACGAGGTGTCAGCTTCCGGCGACTTGCAACAATTGATCCAAGCATGTTGACCAGCATTGGAGGCGTTTATGAGGCGATGTACATTTAGCATAGCGAAAGAGGGCGTATGGTAACAGGACACGCACGAAAGGGATTTTGTATGCAATAGGGTCCGGCGTTCGACATACAACGGTGGGACATGAACAGACCACAGCAACTTCTGGGGCATCAGCCTGGTGCGTCCAGCGTGTGCACGTTGTACACGGATAGGCACTGAGAATTGCCGAGTGGACTCGTGCCAGGATTTAACTCGGTTGTCCAGCGGCCTCTGGCGGTCTCGAGACGCTTCACAAAGGGCCTATATAGATGAGCTGAAGACAAAAGTGCACTCTTTGCCTGTGCCCAAGTGGCTTCTCCGTGACGCAGCGGAAGACTGTGAGCTAGGGTTGATGCCCAAAGGTCCATGGTGGCAAGGCTGTGAGGAAGCAGTCTGCTTGCTTGGGCTTGGGCTTCGACCAACTTCAGGCTGAGATTTTGAGTCACTGAGTTTCGGGCCAACCCGTCGGCAAGCATCTTTGTGCCTGATTCTCGTGACCCGGCTCAAGAGACGAACACGAAAGCCGTCTGTTGGGACCAGCCAGCGGCCGAGTAAAGCGAATTTTCCGGAAGACCAGACTGGGCCTACCAGGACACCACCAGTTGCAGCCCGCTGTTGATAACAGAACGAGCCTGCTGCATTGTTCTGGGAGGGCTTTGCATTAACGTGTGTCAAAGGCCACCCCCCGCTCATTGGGCTCCGGTGACGTAACCAACAAGTCATGCACCGAGGGTTTCGTCGTTGTTCGCGAGTAGGCTTCGTTGGCAAAAAAGCCTGCACATGCCCCCCCAGCAGGCGATGTGCAGCCCACCCAAACTAGAAGCAGGTTCCAGCTGGGCTTCTCTCACCTCACCCGGTCGTGACAACCCAATCTGCCCTCGCTCAGCCACTGTTTCTTCTGCTGCAACGGCCTTTCGCTTCTTGTTCTTCACTTGGCCTGCTGGCGACACAGCTGCAGCAGCCATACACCGTATAAGTTTCTCCAACGCCTCGCTTTTCCACCAAGTTCCCGCAAGCACCCCACCGGACCCAAACTGCCCACGAAGCAGCCACATCACTTGACCCCAACTACTCGTATCTCGACCTCGCGTCGACAAGCTGACCGAGCTGTGAAATGGCAGGACGTCGGTATGCCGACGACGTCTCGGTTGACCGCTACGAAGACAGACGAGAAAGTCATGTGTCACGAAACGGACGCCGCTATTACGATGACCGGTACACAGAGGAGGAGATAGACTACCGCCGCTCCACTCCTGCACCTGCCGCTGTCCGGGAGAGAGAGACGATGGTGCGTGAGGAGGTCCGGGAGCGTCCTGGACGTACCCCTGCCTTCCTCGAAGAGGGCTATGGCCGCACCTCGGCTGGTCCTGTGGTTCTACGCAAGCGAGAACAAGAAGATTTCGAGTTCGCTGCTCGCCCCCGCCGACGGTCTCCTTCACCTGAACCCGAGAGGAAGGTCGAAAAGGAGGAAATCATTATCAGGCGGGACGAGTCTGAGGTCCGGGCGCCTCCTCCGCGGATAAGGGAGCGGGAGCGAGATGTGGATCGTGAAGAAATCATCATCCGTCGAGACGAACGGGAACGGTCAAGGCCTCCCCCCCGATTCCGAGAAAGGGACGTTGACCGTGAGGAAATCATCGTCCGTCGAGATGAACGCGAGAGGGATTTTCGACCGCCTCCGCCACGGGATGTCAATTCCTCAAGGGAGGAGATTGTCATCCGACGCGACGAGCGGGAGCGCGAGGCCGTTCGTTCGCCACCGCCACGGGCGGTCAATTCATCTCGGGAGGAGATTGTCATCCGCCGCAATGAAGAGGAAGACCGACGCTCGCGATACTATGACGATGACGATGTCATTTCCCGGAGAGGGGACTACGATCGGAGACCCGCTCGAGGAGACGTCGACAGGCAAGAGATCATCATCCGCCGTGATGAACAGAACGTTGACGGCCGGCGCTACGATGACTATCCGCCGACTCGACCCAAGTCGCACGAGCGGGCCAGATCAAGGGCACGACGCTCGAGTGACGCCTCCAATGAGGAGATCATTATTCGTCAAGAGGAGCGGGAAGGTCGCAGCGGAACCCGCAATCAACAAGAAATCATCATTCGACGGAGTTCTCGCTCTCGGTCTCCCGCCACGTCGGTCACGTCCGCCCGGACTGCTCCCCCTGTCGCCCTTCCTCCCCCAGAGCCCCCGGTCATTAATGCGCCTACCATCCACCAAGAAGTCATCACACATCATCGGCATATCGATCATGGCTTCGAAGTAGCAATTCCCACGCGGCCACGGGTGATCGAGAGACCACCGTCACCCCCGAGCCCCCCACTTGCACCGCTGCCCCCCCCTCCACGTGAACGAGCTCGGTCGGAGGAGCGGATCGAGATCAGCAGGGTGCAAACCCGCAACGGCCGCACCGAGGCCGAGGACATTGTTATCGACCGGAAAGAAAGAGACACGCCAATCACACCGAGGAGTATGACACCGTACAACCATCCTCCGCCAGCACGTGAGCCGTACCACGAACCTGCACCACCTCGTCGTGAAGCTTATCGGGGATATGACCGGGACGTGCAAGAAGAAGCCGATTACTACAACTCCCGTGCTATGGACCGAGCTTATATCGGTGAGGGCTACCATGGAGCCACTCGGGATTGGGCTATTGTCGATGTTCCTCCTGGAACCAACCGTGTGCGAGTGGACGGGGTCGGTGGGGCTAGTCAAGAGATTACCTGGCAGAGATACAACGGAGTGAGGAGAAGCAAGTTCATCCCTGACGGGGTTGATGATGGCTACGAGGTTGCCCCGCCGCGACCGAACCCCTTGCCGGCGCCGGCGCCGGTTCCTGTACCTCTTCCACATCCCGCACCTCTGCCATCGGCCAACGGCGAGATAGCGCGCCGGTACGGCAGGGAACGTAACCCCAAAGATGGCCTGTGGACAGAAGTGACCAAGGATTTGGTGGTCAAGGAAGCCATCCAGGAGATGGGTTACGAGTTTGAGGAGACTGAGGACTTCTACTACATTATTGCCTACTTGCGCTACGTACGTCTCTACGATCGTTCCTGCGTGTCGAAGATACTGACTGACCCATCACAGGAGGACATTGCGCGACTGGTAGGATTGTCGGATGACATCCGCAAAGAACGCCGCAAGCGCATCAAGGAGATTGAGTGGGAGAACAGGGTGCTCCCTCCTCCCATTGAAGAACCTGCCCCTCGTCCGCTTGCGATCGAACCGCCGCCGCCCCCACGGCCACGTCAGGAATGGGATCGAGAGGAAGAACGGTATATCGAGCGCGAAGTCCTCTATCGGGGTGGCAGACCCCCTCCACCTCCAGGCTGGAGACGTTGAAAGCAGTCATCGCATAAATCTGTTCTAGATTGGGTTATATTGATGATATGGTGTCTGTTGGCCGATGATCTGATGATATGATGTCTGATGTCTGATTTCCGTTGGCTGACAATCTGACGATCTGATGTCTGATGTACTTGATGAACTGGCAATAATGCGCCAAAGACTTACACGAGTTTCATATGTTCGGAACGGCGGGGATGATGCATCTGAGCAAGCGTGGGACACCGTGGATTTTGATTTAGCGATAGCGAAGAAAAACGACGTCGGAGTGAGATTGATATGAAGATGTAAATGAAAATGAAAATGAATGACTTGGGTACTGTAGGTACCTAAGTCTGAGGATTGTTTCAACGTGAGTAGAGTACAGTCAGTAATGGCTTTGCAAGCTGCCTGGGAGGGGGCAGCGTCGACCTGTATCTCGCGTTTACAAATCAATCTTACAGTCTGTAGCGGCACGACACGACACAGCTCAACGCAAGCAATCGATCAATACAATATAATACAATACAATTCTGCACAACAAAACACAACACGGCAGCCCATGGATTACCCTACAGTACTGTATCTAGCTGATTAATGAGGTCGTGAACGCCCCACGGCGATCAGATACTGATACAAACACAGGCCGCGCTGAGATGCGTACGAGGTAGTATGTACGTGTATGTACGCATAAACTACTGTAGGTGTGGAGTCTGCCCGCCTCTCTGCCCGCCTGCCTGTCTTGTTTGTCTTGTTGGTCTGATCGTATTCCAACCCAACCTGAGATAGACAAGTGATGGCGGACCAAAAGCGGGGAGGGGCATACAAGAGAATTGTCAAGGTATCCGGGATGGATGTAGGATTATTATGATGGGGAATGAGGCAGTCGCCGTTTGGAATAAACGTTGCTTACTGTATAATGGATAAGTATCTTGGTGACTGAATGACTGAATGACTGGCTGACTGACTGACTGACTGAATGACTGACTGGCAGTACCTTGAAGTATCTGACGAGATGAGACGCCACGGTCCCTGATTCATTCGGGGAACAAGGGCCGGAGCTGGAGAGGACTCGGGCTCATCAGCATGTGGACTGATGACTGGATGTGAAGTACTAAGTACTGAGTACATAGGAAGGAGGAGGAGGGAGCAGTATGTATGTGTGTGACCGCCTGGCGCTATGGCCATGGCCTTTCATCATCATTGATTACTGCTCACAATGAGACTGCTATCTCGGTGCAATGGCACTGCTATCTCGGTGTTGAGCACATGGTGCTTGAGGGGGTATTGGACGTCTCCAGCATAAGCTATGCAACCGACCGACAAACCGACCTGAAGCCAGTTCTTCATTCCACTCTTTTTGTATCACCTCGTCTCATCTCGTCTCGCTCCGAAATGACTTCTCCCCTAGAACCGAGTCTCGTTTAGCGATCCTGCAAATTCTGGTCGCGCGCTACCATGTTCTCAAAGTCATGCCACCACTGAGCGACCTCCTCCCTCTCTTGGTCTCGTGCGATCTGCCATGGGGCCGTGGGAGGAGGAGCACCAAGCCGCGCCACCAGCTCCGCGAGCGTGTCCGTATCCTTCTTTCTCTCCAAGGCCAGCACACACATATCTTCGAGCAGGTCCAGGTACTTGTCCGGGTGTGGCAACTCTGTCGAGCGCAGGAGTTTGTGCATGAGATAGCAGCGGTAGGTGTAGTCCCATTGATTTCGCACTTCTTCGAGAATGACCAGCGTAATTGTGAGGCGCTTATATCGGCTGAAGAAGTCCTTGATGCCCATCATGTTGGTACCGAGGCCTTTCTTCTCGTAGATCGCGAGGATGACATGGCTTTTTGGCGCGTTCGGTTCGGCTTCGTAGGAGTCAAGAGCGGAGCGAAGGTTCACGAGCTCGTCGTTGCCACGATTAGCGAGTTCCTCGATGTTGGCTTCGAGTCGGACGCGGCTGAGGTTGATGTTTACAAATTCCGAGGCCGCAGCACATGGGGAGGGTAGTGGAAGCAGCTGGATCTCGGCTCCAGAGGAGGCAGAGCTTGTGGACTGGGCTGCTGGGGCGGGGTCAGGGGCACGGCCACCGGACGGAGGAGGGGCACATTTGTGATGTGTCAATTCAGCGTGGATGTGTCGGATGATGAATTCGTATGTGCCTTTGTTGTGCTCGGCGTTTGCTTCCTTCTCGTCTGGGTTTTGTGCGTAGGTGGTGCGTGAAAGGACAATGACAGCTCGTAGGTGGTCGGTGGTTTCACAGCGTCGGCTCGCCATGGTGAGTTCTTGTCGTCTGACCACTGGAAAAGATTCTGGAAGGAGGCAGGGAAGAGACAAGAAGGGAAGACACAGCTGTGCTCAAGGGTGGGTGTTTTCCTTCTCGCAGACCTCCCGCAGAAGGATTGCACAGGGTGAACTCGCTGACTAGAAGGGCAGCAGAGCAGAAATTGTCGACGTTTGTGAGTGACATTGCAGCCCACAAAAAAAAAAACAGAACCAGTACAGAGGACCGCAAGGACGGGATACACGATTCACGAGGGGGAGTATTCATACCAGAAAGACGCTCCGGGGTGAAGCGTTGTTGCCAGAGAGACGTTTTGTATATTCCCGCAGTGGATGGGTATTTCATCCCCCAAGCAACATGATCCTGAGAACAGCTTGACTCTGTCAAGACACATTCGGTCTGCAACAGTTGCCTCAATATACTAGCTCCAGGCCATGAAGTGCAAATACCGTGCGGAAAAGCACAATGAGGCCGGAGGTCGTCGATCAGGACGGCCATAGACATAATAATGCTGACCGCATCAGCAATGGGGAACAGAGGGCACCGAAGTGGACGTCTCAGGCACTTTGCGGTACCCCTCATATAGGGCATTGACTGAGACGATGTGCATAGTCTCATGCTCTGGACCTTTGAGCTATTATCCTTCGGCGATCTGTGGCAGCTGGAGCTGGAGCTGGAGCAACATGATCAAAGGACTGAATCCACATCATGTGAAGCCCCTGGTACGAGAGAAAGACGGGCGACAATGAAGAGTATTTACTCATCGGAGACGCTTCTACGACACGCAGGACGTTTTTGCTGGACTCTTCAAACGCTAGTCGTCTTAAGACCAACTGGGGAAAGCGTGGAAGCAAGGGAAGCTAGCACCCAGACGGCTACGCGTGCCGGAATATGACGTAGTTGAAGCGCAAGCTGGGATTCGGCTAATCCAGGCCAAGCTAAGCCAGATCCGAATCAGAAAAGCGTCCATTGACGGCATCGTGAGCTCTATCGAGTTGTCTCTCTATCAAATGGTAGCTCGTACCTGATGTCTGTGAACGTTATGTAGTAGCGAGGGAACCAGCTTTGGATCGGCTCAACTCCAGGAGGGCCCTGCACCAACTCACTCTCTGCCTGTCCGCAATCCAGGTTGTTGGAAAACTCACCACCGTTCACAGGAACCCATTTGAGAGGCATAATGGCTGCGCCGACCCAGCCTGAGCAGACCAATGCTCTGAACATCTACATTCTCACGTATAACTGTGCCCGAACTCTCGTCAATCCCAGCATATTTGCACCGCACCTGTTCCACGGTCTTCCGGCCAACAGCCTCTCACCGGAGTTCCTTGTCATCTGCTTACAAGAGTTCGCGCCCATTAGTTACGCGTTCTTGGGCGGATCCTTCATAACGCCTTACTTCAACGCCTGGCGGCATATCGTTAGACTCGCTTCGACTTCGAAAGATCACAGCTATGTCAACGTGATAAGCCGCAATGTGGGGATGACGGGGATCATGGTGTTTGCAAGGGATGATGTTGCGGATCACGTGAAATGGCTGAAGACAGCTGGGGTTGGTGTTGGCTTTAGTGAAATGGGCAACAAAGGCGCGGTTGCCTTGAGGATAGGCTATCAATCGCCTGGTATGGCAAGCGAAGTCGAGTTCACCTTTGTGTCTGCTCATCTGGCGCCAATGGAGGACGGCCTGGAGCGGCGTAACGAGGATTACAAAAACATTGTGAGGAGGCTGGTGTTCGTCCCGGATTCCAGCAGCAAGAAGCCCGTGTCAAGAGATGAGGAAGATGAAGATGCCCCTCTGCTACAGGGCAATGATCCGTCGCAGCAAGTCGATGAGGCCTTTGAAAGCGGCATGTATGCTTCATCGTCACATCTGTTCTTTGCTGGGGACCTCAACTATCGGACGTCACTGCTTCGGCCGTCGCCGCAAGACGTGGATGAGAAATTCCCGCACCCCACCACCAACGAGGCTGACCCAAAGCACTTTCAGCAGCTCCTCGCAGAAGACCAACTTACTCAGCAGGTCAAGGCTGGAAAGACCCTGCACGGCTTGTCGGAAGCACCAATCACCTTCCCACCCACCTACAAGTACCACACTGACGGGAGCAAGGCTGTCATCTTCGCCAATGGAGAAGAGGAGGATCGACAACACTGGAGCTGGGCGCGTCATCGCTGGCCGTCCTGGTGTGATAGAATCTTCTTCTGGAACGATCGTGGAAGTAGCGGTGACGTCAAGGTGACTCCGCAGAAGTACACGTGTCTACCATTGTTTGCAACCTCGGATCATCGTCCAGTAGTGCTGGCTGCTACGGTACCTTTGAAGGCGTTGGCGAACGCAGGGCAGGGGGGTGAGGGTGGACGTGGCCCCACGGCAGCACCATTCGATATCGACCCGGACTGGAGGAGCAGACGAGCTCAGGCACGCAGAAAAGAGCTTGCCGTGGGTCTTATGGCTTACCTGGCACTGACATGGGAGGGAAACGGATTGTTGTTGGCGACGACGATTGGTGCAATTGGAGGGTGGTTGATTATCAGATCTCTCCTCACCGGATGAGATGAAGGTGCGAAGCTCGGTCGGATGTTCGGCATTCAATGGACATGGGCGTTCGCCAGGCTGGGAAAGCGCATGAGGACAGAGAACTTTTCCATTTGAAGGAATTGAACGGGACCACGTGCTCATACAATGAGAGTAGGAAAGGATGTGCTTCGGCTGGCTGATTCATAAGAGTGGGGATGTCCTCCGTAATCAACATTCGCCTACCCAGTAAAGGAACATGGATTAAGCGACAGCTGTCGAAGACTCGAAAAGCTTCGATGAGGCATTCTAGCGTATTCGTACCATGGAAGGATACTCGGTTGGGAGATTTCCCCTGCTGATCCTTCACATTGAGCCTGTATCCGCACAAGGGAACGCAGAAGAAGATGAGCCTAGCTGAATCGCATGGCGCACACTAAGCTGGCTGTTCCACCAAGCCACACAACGTCCTGATACCGCGGGTATGTACGGAGTACCCAGTCTGCCAGAGAGCCAGTGGGACATTCTACTGTGTACACCAGCTGTCTCTGCGTTGGGCTCTCTACGCAAAAATATAATCGAACCAGAGCGCGGTGTGACACATCTACAACGAATTGGACTGACGACAGGCACTTTCTTGTTGAGCACCCTCCCATCCCGTTATGTGATTATGATTATCTCTTTCGGATTTCTGTCTCGGCAACCGCCCGAGTCTGCTCAGTCTGCCCGGTCACTGTGCAGCTGACATAACCCACACAAGACGATGATTCGACGTTGGTCTTGCGCGCATTCTCGTCAGCAATGGCCCGACACTGAAGGCGTAGTGTATTGGCGGACGGTCCGACGCGCATCTCGATGATCTGAAGGTTGCAGTGTGATTACTATTGACAAGTACTGTGCGTTGCGGTTCAGTCCGGCTCTTGAGTGCTGAAGTTACGTACGATTGCCATTTCGGTGAAAATTGGGTTGGCATTACCCGGTTGAAGAGCCCTGACACTTCCGAAGTATCTGTATCTGTCCATTTCGTGGCGTCGCACCGAGGAACCATGGCGTCGAGGGCGGAGACAGTCTAGACCCTTCCTCCCGGACTTGTGGTCTGGACCTTACGCCCATCAGCTGAGTTGCAGGGGTCGCCAAGTGGTTTCAGCTCTGGCGCATGACGGGGCTCTACTCGCCGGTGGGAAAGAATGAATGAAAGTGCCAATTAGGAGCGGGCATCCGAAGGTGAAGCCCAGCGACACAACGTTCTCGTGGTTGCAGTGCAGAGTACATTGCTCGCAAGAGCATACCAGGCACAGTCGAAGCCTCCGTGTTGAAACTGGCATCCAGTTGAGACCGTAACACAAAATTGAACATACGGCTCCTGCTCATCGATAACACCAGGTCTACTGGGACGAAGCTCCTCGGTCACGATGCACGACGGATGACTGGCCTTGCGGCCGACAGTCAACAATAGATATGTACTGCGTACAAAACAGCACCTGCGGACGAGGCCGAGAGGATCCGTCGCGGTTCAAGCTGCGGATGAGAGGCCTCAAAAGGCAGCCTGCCTCCAAGAGCCTTATGCTTGTCTGACTAAGTGAGGCTTCTTAGCTCCGTCGGAGTTTGGGAGGAATGGTCCAATCGACGGCCGTGCAGTGCGAGAGCCAGATGCGAGAGAATAAGGAAAGCGCAGCGCGTCTACGGAGGACGCTGGATGGCGCTAACCACGAGAGCAGGATTGCTAGAGTGAGCACGCGCAATGTAACTGTAGAGTAACACAAATACGAGCACTTTTCATGGGTTGGGCAAACCACCGTTTTCCCGGAACTCTGGCTAATTGATCAGTAGCACTGGCTGGTGCTGATGAGCTCAACAAGCAAGCCTGGACTTTGAGTTGCTGCATGCTCAGTATTGCAGGATCGGAGCAACTGAATCAAGCAATGCAGCAGTGAGACTTGCGTGTCGCGGTGCTCAGCCATGATTCCACAGGAAGCACCCAAGGTTATGCTGTGCCTGGGTGGTGTCGAAGCTTCGTGACAGAGAATGGCCTGACGAGGTGGGCATGACATATTGGGTTACGGTAACCGCGTTGGGGAGGGAGGCCTACGTATGCCCTGCGACGCCCTGGAGCCGCTGCTGTTGCGGGTGGGGAAGGAATAACGTGATGAGACCGCCGGGCGGCCTGCGGGAGAACAGTCAGGCGGTCCCTGGCTCCCCCTGTTGCAGGAATCAGGCCAGGCTGCTGCCAGTGGACTAAACTTTGCCTAACCAACAGTCTTGGTGGTCCCTGGTGGTTCGGCCTCCCCAGTGACATCTTCATTGCATGCGATCTGCACCCCTGTCAACAGGCTCAAGCCCCGTTTGCTGCACGATTGCCAAATTGCTGCCTTATTCGAAACTGTCCGGTCGGCCCTGGTTTTGCACCGGTATATCACTCTCGTTTCATCCTCCTTCGAGTCTTCGATCTTGCTTCCTCTCCACAAGCACCGCACGATCGACGAGACACATCAACAAGAGTACCGACCTTCGCGTACGATACTGCTACTGTACAACAACCGCCTCAGGCACAGAGGAGTCTTCTGGTACACTCGGGCCCTCACCAGTGGCATCCTCCGAAGACGTCATCGGTCTTCAGTCGATCACACTGTTGACCGATTCCACACTTTTAACGAGTGTTGCTCTTCTGTCGTCAACAACGCACCATGTTCTCCTGCTCAAACCAGCCTCGGGGTTGCCGTGGGCGATGCGATACGCCCGGGGCCAAGTGCAGTGAATGCAGAGTACGTTCCACTCTTCTCGCTTGTTTGCAGCCTTGTATTCTTCACAGCTTCTGACATGGCTTGCTCTCAGATGTACAACTTTCGTACTCGGCCTAGCAAACAATACCGATCGGTCCTCACACAACCGCTCAACTCCCGGTCGGGCCTCATGACTCCATCGTCGGAGGCTGATGTCACCATGCAGCACGTCCCTGCAGCGCGGTAGCGCCCACTCAGGAGCGAAAACACGCCCAACACACGACATCTCAACCAATCCCACCTATCCTCCATTTTACCCATTCCTGCTTTGCCCAATCTTGGCGAATTTCCCCATGCCGGGCAGAGGACATGGGCAGGAGGGGGTGCTCACGACTCCGATACCCTACGAGCGATGACATTACGACCGCACCCACCCGATTGGCATTTCTGTTATTACCGCTACTTCTCCATCACCGCTTTTACGGCACATCTCGATTCTGTCTTGTTGGGGTTCAGCGACGGCGTCTAGGGGGCGCAATTGACACCACCAAGCTTCAGCGACGCTTGCATGGGGGCCAGCGCACAATCATCTATTTTTCGACTGCGATTTTCAGTCACCCTACTCTTTTCAGCGTAGGCATGTGTTCCGACGCCTTATCCTTTATCAATGACGCCAGATTCCACTACTGGTGACGACTTGCTGCAGCTGCAGCTGCAAGCAAAGGGTCCCTGTGGAACTAGCTTGGGCGGGGATTGTCGATCTTTCTGAACATATGGGCTCTAAAAGCACCTCGCGGTGAAGAATGAAAAGCGATGGACTTGGGGTGTACGGATTTTTGGTAATGAAGCGGCAGCTGGTTTGTTGCTCATGTACCAATATTAGTTGCGATGGGGTATAGCGCCATCGCAAACTACCTGTACTCTACACAGTACAGACGAACTCCTCCACACGGAGAGAGACTCATATACGAATCATCCCAAAAAAAAGGTTGAACATGTCATTTCTGGCTTCGCTTCCAAAGTGAGAGCGCACTTGAATCGCCCGTCTGCTGCCATGCACAGCTGTTCAGTTCTGGCGTGTTGCATATGCAGTCCCTTGACAAGTGCTGAGATGAGGAATTCCGCGACCTCCCTGGGTTTTCGCAAGGTTCAAGTCCCTGCGTGCGAATGAAAATGCCTCAGCCTGTCCCCGGACGGCCGCTGCAGAAATTCCCCCACTCCGAACCGAGAACGCACAATAATCAGTGGGTGAGACGCACATTTGCTCAACATTGAGACTTTGCTGTTCAAGCGTAGAAACATGCGTCCGACGTTCACTGATTAAGTTAAGGACCGGAGCAAATGAAGTGCTAGTCGCATCTGGGGGCCTCAGCTTGTCTCTAATTTTGAGAGTGCAGCAAGCCTCGGGCGTTCGCAAGAGCGGAACCTGGAAGTTTGGTGAGACACCAGGGCAGTGCTCATGCAGCCAGTCAGCGAGGGTAAAGCGCTTCGCAGCGAGCTGTGTCGCTGTGTCGCTGTGTCGCCTGATCCGCCGGCTCATCCCGCGTGCTTCACATGATCTGCTTGCCACTCGTCTTCCGCCCACAAGGTGGCATGATTGGTTGCCTGCTAGAACTCAATGTCGCCCAATCCGACGTGCGATTTCGAGGGGCACACACCAGCTTGCACATCCTCAGCTGCGTCGAGGCAAGCTCCACCGACGGCGAATGGGATTGAGTTAGATCTGCCGAAGCGTGCTCGACGCGTCAACCAGGTCGATATCCTCGTCTCCAGACGTGAGAAGTAACAGTCCGGTGCATCGGTTTTTGCTGACCTTCATCTAGATGTGACACCTTCTGTGGCTGACTACTCGATCCACCCTCCATGGCGATGCCACTCTCATTCGACGGCGAAGGCTTCAAGCTGCCTCACGTCGCGTCGACGCCTCTCGAGACCGGCATACTCAAGGCAAGCCGTATATCCAGACACCGACCATCCGCAGCCTCCTATGATGGTGGTCACGACCCCATATTCATGTGCATGGGGTTCTCGACGATTTTGATCACAATGAGTCGCTCAAAAAAATACCCGGATCTGATACATAGCCGCATAGTCGTGGACGTCCATTCCTGATAGTGGCATCATTCCACGGCGTTTCACTCAAGATGCTGCTTGCCGCCATCGCTCTTGTCTCGAGCCTGGGAGATGCTGCTTCCATGCGCAAGGGTCGCTCCTTCCTCGCCATGGACATGCACTACTTAGACGAGCTGTACTTGTGCTCTGCTCCTCAGGCCGCCATATCCCCAGGCCTGCAATTTTGGATACATCCAGTATGAGCAATAGAACTGGAGGCGATGGCTTCGCTATGGTTGCTGCCAGACATGCTATGATCTCCTCCGAGGCTGGTTCTGAAAACTACCGAGCACTGCCATCCTCTTACCGTCGACGCATCCGGAAGTCAAGGTCCCTCGCGACGGTACACCAAAGTAGCAACCTTCGTCTGCGAATCCAACGTTCTGTTCCATTCCTTCGTCGGCAAAGCACAACCGTATTCCACAAGAGCTCAAGTTCACCATGGGAAAGGCACGACGAAGCCGTCCAGCTTGCTCGAGCACAGTACTTTGGCGGGTCCGATCATCACGACACACAAGAACTAGAGCTGTATAGCTTCCACAAGATCGACAGGAAAGAGCATCACAAGTTCAGAAAATCGGTTCGTGGAAGTCTGACTGCAGATGCCCACCTTCCACCCGCAGTCAAGAGATCGTCCTCGTTTACTGCGACGATTCGCAACCGTGTTCGACAGGTTATTGGAAGGACTTGGAACAGGAAAGACACCCTTCCCCCTCAACAGCTCGAGGCCCAGCGCAACTACTTTTCGGAGCTAGACCGGGATGTCGGGCCTCCGTGTGGGTTTGATGCATACGCAGCCGCTGAAGATACTCTGCGAAAGACGGATTTCGACCCTTCTGTCCCCGAACATGATGTCCTCGAAGACCTGGACAAGGTTTCCTATACTCTTGCGTCTGCGACGAGCCATGAGAGCCTTCACTCCAATGGAGGATCCCGGGTGACCAGCTGGACCAACTCCAGCATGACGGGCTCCATTGGTTTGCGTTCAGGTCTGATGGAACGCAATCGATTGTCGATCATCAAGGAAGACGGTGGACCACACCAGCCTTCGTCATCTGCAGGGAAACATATCGGAGGAGTGGAAATATTCCGCGAGCCTCTACAGCCAGTTACAAACGATGGTGTGATAGCCTCTGCTGTTAACACTCAACGAGTTTACTCTGCTTTGATCAAACGAATCAATGAAGAAGAAGCAGAAGTTGAAAGGACGCGACTTGCGGTCGAGACTCTCGACCAGGAGCGCGAAGGGGTCAACAGAGGTCTACTTGCGGCAAGACAGACTGTCAGAGCAGTGCAGAGCGATTCCTCGCTGGCGACTTTAACGGCCGACCATCAGAGCCGGCGCTTTAGCAGTCGCTCTACCTCGTGGGACCTGGATTCGACAACCAATGATCCTACGACGGATGCCCGATGTAAGGAGAACTCTGGCAGGGCACGGGAGCGGCTAGTCGAGCAAGAATCGCAGTCAAGCTTCTTTCCCTTCTCGAGCGAAAAGAGTCCGGACACCCCAAGTCCTTTCAAGAAGTTCCTGAACGAGAGGCGAAGTCGGGCTCGTAACCGGAGCAGGAGCCGAAGCAGCGGTCGCGACCATGCAGCAGATGCGGACGGCGCAAGCGTCATCATCACTCGACATTCTAGCAATCCTGTGATGAATCGACCTCGGTTTGCTTTGAGCAGCGCCAGCATTTACTCGCGAACTACGAATGGTGGATCGAACGACCAGTACCGCCTTCCAGTCGACAGTTCAGAGGAGCTGCTTGCCCCAGCGCACACAGGATCTGAATCAATGGGGATGGCGTCGATCTTGCCAGTCAAACATGCTTCTTGTGATCGAAGTCAATGGAATCCATGGTCAGACCCAGTCGATGTGCGACTCTCTGCGCCCGAACACAACCCACACACCCGGGAAAGAGCTCAGATTAGGTCCGAAGAGGACTCGGCCAGCAGAGATGAAATGCTCTCCGGGAACAATACCGGTGGAACTCCTCGCGCTGATCTGAACGCCTTCCCTGGAACGGAGACGCCGAAAGTGCGCATTGACACTGCTCCGAGTCAGGCTCACGATCAGCTACGCAACAAGTTGAGTGCCGATGCGCTAAGCAACATTTCCAACAAGGCCGATGATGGGAGTAAGGACAGTAGGAGTCTGCGGAAGCTAAGCCCAGGAAACCTGGCAAAGATGTTCAAGGATAGAAAACCGCAGAAGCCTCTCAGACCTCAAAGCTCGGGCAAAGAAAACAGTCCGGCGGCTCGAGAGGGCTCGCCGCCAATTAGCACGCCAGGGCGACTCCATCTTCAATTCCGAAACGGTCCCTCCACGGGTCGGTTACGCCAGAAGGCTGGCGAAACGGCGTTCTATACTCGAAACGGTGTCTACTCGACGCCTCAAGGCTCCGTCTCGAGCACACCCAGCCGATCACACGAGAGTCCGAGTGAGAATGCCAAACACCATCTGGTGGCCCGACTCTCTCGGCCGTTCAATATGGATGTGCCTCCACACAATCGCCCCTTCGATAGCATGTACCTCGGGAAACGGACGTTTGGCCATCCTGACACGTTCGGGGACAACCGATTGAGCGTCGCGCCCAGAATCTCTGAAGATGTGACTGAGCCGAACAAGGAACTTGCGCCAGACGAAACGGACGCAATGCCATCCAGATCCTACTCTGCCGGGAGAAGTGCGGCAAAAATGTTCGGCCTCCTTGGCAGTAAGAGGATGGTGAGCAACTTTCTCAAGAGTCGACGAGGGGATAGGAGCACGAGTGCAGGCGAACAAAATGTGGCAAACGGAAGCCCAGCGTTCATCTAGGCCGGGGATTTGGACTACGGTGGGTGGATCATTGTCGTCGGACTGACCAGTATTGTTTAGGGAGCCAGCGGCCACCAGGGCCGGCGCATTCGCTCGCCATCGGACGTGGTAACACCGACGTTGGTTCGATCTCAGGGGAGGCTTTCAGCCTTCAGGAACACGGGTAACGAATTATCATGATCTTTCAAAGTCCCCCAAGCTGTGAGCCCAGATTTTCCTTTCGCTTACGTAACGGTCGAGATTCTGTTGGCTGCGAAAAAGGCTGCATGTAACTTTGATCAGACGACCACGTGTGTGAGATACAAGACTGACTGAGCCAGATCGTCCTGATCGTAGGTGTTTTTCGCTCTCACACAGCAGCCTCTGGCTACTGATGCGCTGATGTGCCCATGTGTTGTTTTCAAACGAAGGTAAGGTCTGTCACTCAGCGTCTCTGCCGCCGAGTAGGTAAGTGCGATGCATGCAACACTCGCGAGGCAGCTACGATGGCGCCGTAACGAAGTAAGTCATGCTCGCCCAGTTGTCATGTCACCCTCATTGCTTCCTCACCGCTGCATCACGGTTGGGTTTTCCAGACTCGTTTCGTGTTGTTGTATGTCCCTTTTATCCCCCGTCTCCGGTCATTGATCTCGCCTGCACCGAGTAACTCCTTCTCCTTGTATTGCCACCTATCATGCTGCCCTGAGTTGTCGTGTCCTTCTTGATGTCTGTGTACCCCGCTATGATGTCTCTGCACTCTGCACTCTGCACACTGCGCCCTGCCACGACGCATGCGGTCGGTCACCTTCGATTGCTGTGCTACCTTGTTGTATTCTACCTTGTTGTATTCTACCTTGTTGTATTCTACCTTGTTGTATTCTACCTTGTTGTATTCTACCTTGTTGTATTCTACC